CTCTAATATAGGGGGTCCCTAGAGAACCCTTCGCTATATATACCTGAATAAAAATCCTAGCTCCCAAGAGGGTAGACATAAAAAAAAAAAAACAAAAAAAAAAACAAATAATATATTAAAATATAACTATTTGGATACTATATTAAAAACTTGAGAACTTTCATATCATATTTAAACTACCAACTATAGATATACCTTTATAGCAAATTATGTCAAAAAAGGCAAAATATATAAATACTTTGCTTCAAAAATAGCTTATCATACATCAACTATTTTATGTCTAATTATCTTTTTAGAAATATTTATAAATTATATTTAGAAAATGATAATAGTAAATCTATGGCTGTATAGCAAAAGTTCAAAACTATACTTTTGCAGACTAGAGCCTTAGTATTAGATACTTTTTTATTTATTAATGATATATAAAAAAATAAAGCTTTTAACCCAATTACAAATCAAAAGCAAATTAATCAGAAGTATTTGGTAAATGGTTTTATAAATTTATTAAAAAACAAAATACTATTAACAAACTTATCTACAAGGTAATATTATATAAAAAAAGATGTTAATAAATAATTCTAGTGAATACAACATATTGTAATTAGTTAAACTTTATATATATAATTGTCTATTTATCTAAAGATATATTCATAATTACAATAATTTCTTTTATCTACAGTAATAACAACAATACTGTGCTCATTTATAGCTATGTTTATTTGGTTTATTCTGGGTTATATTAGTTATTTCAGAAGATTATATGATTAATACTGCTATCTATTTCTATATAGCATATACCCAAATATTACTTTAAATCTACAGAATTTTTAAGTTCATATTTAAAAATACAGTTGTTATTGCAGATTAAAATAAAATTAAGAACTTCTCTTGCTTATTTTTAAAGCTTATAAAACCTATATATACTCTTTTACTAAAAAAACTCAAAATATTCTTTAAAAAATTTTAAATTTTCTTAAAAATTAAAAAATTTTGGTTTAATCTAATTTTATTTTAATCTGTTACAGTTCTTATTAGACAAAAAAGTAATATATTATTTAGATACAAATATTTCATATTTTGTTTTAAACTTATTACTTATACTAAAAAACTAGCATTTTCATCTAGTTTTAAATCTATAAAACTTAAATTATTATATCAAAGATAATTATTTCAAAATATGACGATTAAAATAGTCAAGAACCTATTTTATTGAAATAATTATATGGTTACAATAAATATTTAGAATATTTTATTTCATATATTTTTAAATCCAAACACTCTCACTTTTAACTTCAATAGTACTTGATACACATTCATATTTTTATCTTATAAACTTTATTCAAATTCACAAATATTTACAAAAATCTTCTATTTTCTGATAATATATTTTAGGTTTTTAAAAATTTGTCTAGTAGCATATCTAGATGATATCATAATTTTGGCAAATTTGAAGACTCTTCTTAATCACTTAGAGATTATACATCAACTATTAACTCACTATAGTTTTAATATTAATATAAAAAAATCACACCTATCATTAACTTAAAGTTTGGAGTATTTAAATTTTTATATAAACACATAAAAAATGATTCTTTCTCTACTATAAAAAAAAGTTAAAAATATCATCAGGAAGTACAAATTTCTTCTTTTACAAAAATAGTTCATATTTGCAAATTGGTAATATTAATAGAAAAATTGACTGCAACAACTATAGCAGTCTTTTCTAGTCAATTGAAGTTATAGACACTATTGAGAGACAAGAATACTACAATCAAACTCAAAAAATGAAATTCAGATCTGATTCTATTAATAAAAAGCTGAATTTAGCTCAAATAGTTGATAAACAACTTAAAAAATTAAAACAGTTAATCAATAATACTAGTAATACTATAAATTATGATATTTACTGATGCGAGCTTAGTTGTAGTAATAGAAAAATATATAGTATATAGTTTTTGGAATGAAAAAGAATAAGAATAGCATATAAATTTATTAGAATTAAAAGCAATAGAATATAGGCTCTGGTTCTTCAGAGTAATTCAAAATTGTATTATTCTAATGAAATTAGATAATACTATAGTAGTAGTCTATTTAAACTATCAGGATAAAACAATAAATATAAATTTTAGCTAGTTAACAGAAAAAATATAAAATTTTTGTTTGTCAAAAAATATTTAAATTATAACCAAATATATACTAGATACTATAAACTATAGTTGGCAGTAGAATTACTAAATTTTTTTTTTTTTTTTTGAATATTAATAGTGAGACCATGTCTCTAACTTTATTAAAATTTAATTTGATTCTTCTACA